GCTCAGTGGATAGAGCTCTGGCTTTGGAGTCAGGAGGACCTGAGTTCAAATCCGGCCTTAGAAACTTGACACTTACTAGCTGTGTGACCTTGGGCAAGTCACTTAACCCTGATTGCCTAAGCAAAAAATAAAAGAAATTATGTTTGTAAAGCACCTGCACATAGTAGGTGCTTAACGTTTCCTTATTTTGGTTGTTACTTTTGGGGAGACAGAGTAGGAAGGTGATCACCTGAGGGCTGGGAAAAAGAGATGAACATTTGGAAGAGGGAGCAGGAGCTCTGTGGAATGTCTTGATGAAATAGATCAGAACTCTTCCTCTTCCCTTCAGTTTCACACCTATAAACTGTCTGCCTAGTCTTAAGTCCAGAAGCAAAAGACAGCAGGACCTTACCCAAATTCAAAGTGATTGGGGTAGCTTCTGCCCAAATACCTCCATATTGTGGTAGTAAGTCTCTAGCAATGAAGTCACAAATCTTGAATGGCTGCCCTTCTTTCTTTTCTCTCAGCCCTGGTTCCCCTTATGCTAGTACCAGTCTCTATGTTCCCTTAATCTTTCTAAAAGAAAACTTCTATCTCAAACACCAAAAAGCACAAACAACATTTCTGGGAAAGGCTTAACTGCTAACTTTTTGCTTTTGCGCAAATTAGTCTTGCCAGCAGATTCAGATTTATCCAGCTTTCCTATCTTCTATAGGATAAGAGAGTTTCAAATCCTCTCATGGATGCCTTTCTATTCCAAACACAGGAGCTTTATCTAGAACTAAAGTTATTCATTCCTCCATCAACAAATGTCACTGCTGGTTTTTTCCCACTTTTCCTTTGTTTTTCTACAGCTTACCTACAACATCTATTAGACACAAAACAAAAACCTATATTTAAGAAATGTTATTCTAGCAAAACAGAGTGCATGTAATCAATATACCGGTAAACAATCAGGATTAAGTGGGGTGGCTAATTGGCACAGTGGATGGAGCACAGGCCCTGGATTCAGGAGGATCTGAGTTCAAATTGGGCCTCAGCCACATTAACACTAGCTATGTGACCCTGGGCATTGCCTAGCCCCCCCACCAAAAAAAAAAGAGTCAGGATTAAGGATTTATTGATCTTGGTTAAATCAGTATCACCTCAAACAGAAGCAAGGTTTACATGAAGTATGGTTTAATTATTTAATATACCCAAATAAGTTCTGGAAGAAAAGTGCCTTAAAAGAAGGATGTTTTTAAAAAATTTTCTCGAAGTCTATGGAAGTTTCAATGAGGATAATAAGGATAGATTAATACAACAGTTAGATATTACTGTTAGAATGCTAATATCAGCTACTATATTTGGGTATTTTACTTAAGACTGCATTTACATGTCTAGAGTGTTGGCCAGAGGGGTTTTCCCAGGATAAACATTTCTTAACTCTGGGTAGTATCAAAAGATATATGATACTCTTTGTCATTTTGTTAGCTTCAAGACCCCAGTTAGAGACAGGCTTCTGGCAAAACAGGTAAGTGTTAAACCTGTCTCTCTTTTCTAGGGATATTTCCCTCTCACAGCAGTTGCTTCCTTCCAGCTGTATTCCCAATAAATACAGTCTTAACTAGCAATTGCCAGTGGTTACTATTGTTTATAAAAACAAAATGAACATTTAAAACAAAGGTAAACACATTCACTTCTCCTTCCCTCCCCACCACTTTCCTTAAAAAAAAAATAGGCTTTAGACTCCTGCTGTAGAACTCAATGGGAAAAGAGTTGTAAGGTTACCACTTTAGTGTCAGTATATGGCAGGGAGGTGAGAGAGGCAACTTCCACAACACAGCTTCTGTCCTGAGTCACCTTTATTCTAAGTTTGGGTAAGCAGCCTCCTTCCCAGAGTGCTGACTCCTTTGTGGAAGTTGCCTCACCTGATGTTTCCACTCTCTCAGCTCCATGTAGCTTCTTGTTTTGGGGGGTTTTTTGTTTTTGTTTTTGCTTGTTTGTTTTAAGCAATTGGGATTAAGTGACTTGCCCAGGGTCACACAGCTGGTAAGTGTCAAGTGTTTTGGTCTGAGGCCGGATTTGAACTCAGGTCCTCCTGCCTCCAGGGCCAGTGCTCTATACACTGCACCACCTAGCTGCCCCTCATGTAGCTTCTTATAATTTCCCTTTCTCCAGCTCCATGTAACTTTCTAAAGTTTTCCTTTCTCCACCTTTAAGCTTCTGCTCCTCCTTTAGGGAGTTGGCTTCCTCTTTGAACTTGTCTCTTCCTTTGAATCTGTCTTCAAACTCACTTTTAAAAGTCACCCTGAGGCATAGTTTATTATTCTCAATCCTAAAGCATTGTTCCCTTTTTGATTCAGTCTGGGGACTAATTTGTACCTCACAAAGAAATGGAGAGTTGCCATTTTACAGTTAGTTTAGCCTCATTACTAGACTTTTTCTGTGATGTGGTGAATGCTTTCAGGACCACTCCCTTACAACAATGTATTCTGACTTGGTGAGTAAAGAGCTAAAATATTTGCATTTTTTTTAAAGCAGTACTCTCATTTTGGAAAACCAAACAGCTTATATGTTTATTAGGTTGAGAGGCAGCATGGCATAGTTTATAGTTGGACTGGTCTTGGAATTAGGAAAACTGGGTTCAGATCCTGCCTGTGACACCTACTGGCTAAATGACCATTGACAGACCCAACCTCACAGTGCCTCATGCAACCTTCTAATACAGATGAATTGTCAACCTACATGGGTGGAAGAAGTTTCTACAATAGGACTTCTGAGGACAAATCAAATAACAGGATGTAGACCAGAAAAAAAAAACTGTTAGCTTTAGGATGTCAATTTGGAATTTTGAAATTGGTGACATTCAACTGGTGTTTTAAAAAAATTCACAGGACTGCTACAAAAGGATTCTCTACCCTTTGAATTAGACATTTAAAAGTTTGCAATATTAATTAGGGGATAGATGTTTTTCATACTGTCTCTGAAATGGATTTTCATCACTATTTAATTATCAACTACTTCAAACCAGGTGCGCACAATTTTCTTCCAGGATACTAAACATTTAAATCTATTTTCTCACGATATGATAAGTATTCTATAAATATAACTGTTTACTTGATGAGTTAACACCAAGTGGTATTTGTAACAGAGTGAATAATACAGGTCTCATTATAAAAAACACACACATCAGAGAAGTTGAACTTATAAAGGCTTCATGGAAATTAAAGCAACTTTTTACCAAAAAGGAATCTTCAAGTATTTATGGAATACAATTGTGGAATGTTTCATTAGCTGGGGATGTATTAAGAGGCTCCTGAAGCACATGGTGTATTGTTGTCGTTTCCTCAAGGCAATCGGTAAATTCTTTCAACTAGAGTTTTACTATCTAAATTTAGGATTCTGGGCAGTTCCCTGTATTATGGTATTCAAGGTTTTTATTTTTTCATATTCTTCTGAGAGACTTATGATCATAAGCTGTTTCTGTGTATCCTGTCTTCAAGATCAGTCATTTTTGCTTGTATGTAATTTATACATTGTTTTAACACTGTTGACTTTTGCTTCTATTTTGCTGTTAATCTTCTCCTTTATTTCTTTAGCAGTAATCTTCATCATGGGTTCAATTTTTTCTAACCCACCAAGTCATTTTTAAAAACTCTACATTGAACACTCAACTCTGACCAATATTTTTAATTTTTTTTTTACGGCTTCTTTTCTTTTCTCTTCTTTGTAACCATTGTGGAGTTTGTTGTTCTATGCTTTCTTGGAAATCTATAGTATTCTATAATTTGTCAAATTGGTTCACTTTCCTTTGTTTTACAATACTTGTTGAGAGCTTTGATTTTCTTTGAGAATTTAATACTCATCCTATCTGTTGTTTTATCCAATTGTGCTCTTTTATTGAGGCTTTTTTTCTTGACACAATTAGTCTTTCAACCTTTTTAAAAATTCCCATCACTCATTTGCTAGCTCCAACCCCTTTGCTGGTGTGCACAGCTCCAATGCTGGGCTGCAAGGCTCCCTCAGCCTAAGTTAGAAACTATCATTTTCCAACCTGGATCCCTGCTATTAGTGCCCTCAGAGAGACAAGACTGGCTTCAACCTGGATACAGCTGCTGGTACCCCATCTCATTGCTTTCTTAGATTGCCTCCTTTCCTTGTCATGGCTGGGAGGCTGCCACTTTTTATGGAATTAGGGTGTTCCAGGCATTCTTTTCAATCTTGGGTGTTGCTCACCTAGGATTGGGTCCCAGGCAAAAGGCAGCTTGTTTTTAGCCCCTCCCTTCCTCCTCTGATTCAGCCACAGGTGGTTAGGCAAGGACAGTGTCCACCACTGCTATTTCAGGAGGGGAGGGTGGGGCATGATTCTCAGTAGAATCTCTACAGCAAGGGAGATAGGAAACCCAAGATGAGCCTGTAAATTAATTTATCCTCCTGCATGAGCTGCTTTAAAAATTAGATTTCTCCAGTGTTAATTCATAAGGATTTAACATTGTAAATGCTCTTTCTTTATCCTCTAGATCTGAAATGTAATTGTAATGACTTTGTAATGATTCTGTATGTGGAACATAATTTCCTTTTTTTGAAGATTCCAGAGTTAAAGGGGTTTGGAGAAAGTGACCAATTCACTATCTTGCTGGTCAAATGACCTAGACTCCATCCTATGATTTCCCCTTGAATAAGTGTCAGGTGATTAAATGATGAATTTTTTAATACAAAAAGCCTTCTTAAAAAAACAATTGTGACAACTGTTGTACATCACATAAAGGTGTACAAATTACATCATGATGAACACAATATTCTAACATCTCACATATAATGTGAAAATCTTCTTATCACTTCAATTCTGTATTGAACAAACCAGGAAAATTTGAGTGTTTCTGACCATTCTATTTTTACCTTTTTGAGTGAAATTAAGTGTGATTACTTTTCTTACTACCCTGTCTGTAACTAGATCCATAGGCAAGCTTGTTCAACCAGTTGCTTCTCTGGGTTAAGCCAATTTAATTTGTCACAGTGATGCTAGGAGAGTATTAGAAAAAACCTAGGGGATATTCTGTGTATTAGGATAAATAAATTAAAATATATGCATTACATGCAAAAATAACTACTTATCTGACTTAATAACTCAGTTGCTTTATTGGTAAAACACAATTTAAATGAAAACATTACAAACTAGGTATTGTAAAAAATAGATCTCTGGTCAAAATGAAACCAACACCCTAATATTAAACACCAAACACATGTTTAGTTACTTGGGCAAGCTTTAACAAGGAAAATAAGATAAACTTATAAATACTTTAAAAGTAAAGAATTAAAATGTATCATTTCTTACTTTGATTTATTTACTCAAAACTTGTCCAACCTGGATAGCTTGTTTCCTACAACTTTATAATATTTTGGCTTCTACAAAAATTGTAGAAACAATAAACATTAAGTCATTTGGCAATATGAACTAGAATACAGAAAAAGGATATGAATGCCTTCACCTCCTTATTATCAACACAAGACAATATCTAGCTGCTTGTAGTGTTCATTATTATTCTAGTTCAGTTCCTTGGATTATATTCCGAATCTTCTCAGCATCTTTTCGTACAGTTTTGTTGGATGGGTCGATCTTAAGTGCCGCTTCATAATCCTGTAAACCTGTATTCATACAGCAAGGGGCAACAAAATGTCTATTTTATAGAATATAGAAAACTGTCACATACATATGTATACATACATATACATACATATGTATATATATATATATATCCATATACTCTCACAGACATATATATATATATATATAAACTACTTAGTGTTCTCCAAAACAGTGTCTGACTAGAATACAAAAATATAGTTCTCACCAGACATTAGTTCTTAGCAGTTTCCTGCCTCTCTCATCTATTTATTATTGCAATCTCCAGAGAGTTTTATATTTCATAGCAATTATAATGAGGCCTTCATTCAGGTTAGGTAAGGAGATTATCTACTTGTGAGTTTAAAATAACTTTAAGTTTGAAATTGACGAAGCTATGATGCATCATTAACATTTAAAACATTCAAAAGGAATTTTTATGGTGCTTTTAAGTGTGCCCTTACCCATTGCCCAACAATCCATCCACACTTGTTACTGCCCCATTTTGTTACCCTCAACAACTGTTTCTTCTCTCCAAATGCTCTCCTTTCTCTTTAAACTGTCAACCATGCACATCTCCCTAAATGAAAAGATATAGCTTAAGAGCTTTAGAAGAGAAATACCTAAAAACCCCTAGTCCACTTCTTACCATTTTTGAGTATCATCGCCCATTTTCTCTTCCTTTCTTTCTGCTCTCAGAAGTCTCCTTAATGCCTGGCTAAGGCCAAACCCTTAATTTTGCCTTCTTCAGGTCTCTGATCTAGGATTCCTTCTCTCTTTCATGCCTCTTTGATCACTCTCACTCAACTGGCTCCCTTCCATATGCCTAAAAAACATGTTCACTTTTCCTAAACGCTAAAACAGACATCCATCCTGGGACTCATCTCTCCCAGCTGATTACAATCCTTTTTTTTCCTCTACTACCTCATGGTTAAACTTAGTGCCTTGCACAGAGCAGATTAATCACTCATTGATTTGAATTGAAACTTCCTTAAAATGTTATCTTCATCCTGATATAAACAATTTGGAGAGCAATATGGGACTATACAATAAAAATCATCGACTGGATTATATTTTTTGACTCAGCAATTCCATTCCTAAAAATTTATACTAAAATATCAAAAAGAGATCTATCTGTACAAAAACATTAAACGTTGCTTTATTTATAATACCAAACTTGAAATAGCCTATATACCAGTAAGGTTTGAATATCTGAATTATCTGAATAAATTATGGTATATTAACATAATGAAATATTATGGCTCCATGAAAATATCAAACATAAATAAAAGAAAATACAGAGACCTATGTAAAGTTATTTAAAGTGAGTTCAAAAGAATCAGAACTGTATATTCATTGACTAGAAATACACATATATTTTTTCTTAAAAATCACCAAATAACCAAATAATAACAAAAAAGTAACCAAACTTCAACTAAACTTGAAAGGTAACATAGAGTAAACATTTACCATTGAAGGTGATTCCATGTAAATGTTACATGGCTAGCACTTAAGAAATGATAATTGAGGGGACAGCTAGGTGGTCCAGTGGATAGAGCACCAGCCCTGAAGTCAGGAGGACCTGAGTTCAAATCTGGCCTCAGACCAACCACTTAACACTTACTAGCTGTGTGACCCTAGGCAAGTCACTTAACCCCAACTGCCTAAGGGAAAAAAATAAAAATGATAATTGGATTGAATTAGTTCACTGAATAAGAGATGATATCTTTTTTTTTTATTTCTGTCCCTTTAAATTATTTATGGAATAAATACATTTGTAATGAATGTAACTAGGTTTTACTATTTGCCTTTTCCTCCACTTATCAGATCCACACAGTTTTCACATCTACATAGTCCTTTGGGGTAAGAAAGGTTAAGAAGTAATACATCATAGGCAAACTTCCAAAAGTATAAAGAAAGCTGAGGCTGAGGGAAGTTTGGTAAAAATCTGGACAGGGAGTTAGAAAATCTGGATTATGCTTCCCAGCTCCTCTTTCAGTTGACTTTAGGAAGGTCATTTAATCTCTCTGGATCACACTTTCCAGAACTAAATAGCCTTATGATCACTTCTACTTTTTTCCCCCTTAAAACTTTTAATTCCAAAGACATTTATGGAACAGTTTAAAAAGGAACACATTGAAAATTCAGATGTAGTCATAGTTTTGATGGTAGTAAAAACTAGCCAGATAACTAGCTGCACTATCAAGTCTCCTTTATATCACCATGGTCTTTTCCAAAGAGCAGCCTAGGCCTCTGTGTGTCATAAGTCTTGGATGTAACATGCTTCAGAGCTGCATGGAAGGGATAACTAGTACTCTTAACCTTCCTCTTCACCATCTCCTTCAAAAGAATCCATATCAACCTCTTTGTATCCTATCTGTAGGACAGCTATACTCACATGCCTCAGAGAATGCTGTTTTCCATCCTGTCCCCTATGTACCATATAACAAAGACATCATTGACAAAGACCTAATCAAATTTGTTGTCCAGGAGAGTCCAGACCTTAGCAATGTCTATAGTGTTGTTCAACTTTAACACTGCCTGATAAACTTTGGTCAAGTTACCACAAAGAAGCACAGTGGAAAACTGGTAATTAAGTCAGTTGGGCGCCAGTTCACAAACTGGATGCTATACTTTGTCTTGATGGAGGTTATGACAGCATTAACATCTTTGCAAACAACATCATCATAGTACAAAAGGCAGGAAGCCATGTGTTTGTTTATTGTGGCAAGAGTCCCACTTCACCATCCGGTTTGCTGGCTCAAAGCACTCATGGTCTCTGCTACAGAAAGCTGCCTGTAGTTGTCCTTAGCAAGAATGATGGACTTAAGTGGCAAAGCAGATGTAGAGAAAGGGCACTGGCTTGGCTTGGAATTCTGTCAGATCAACACTCAGGGTGCCAATGAGTGCAACAATAACAGAAAACACAATGTGGCTGAATAAGGTGATTCATATTCACCTAGGTTGAATATTCAATATCCAAGTTTCTGCAAGAGATATCACCATAGATGGCTTCACTTTCATGAAGGCTCAATCATCGGTCCAAAGCGGTGTGCGTTTTGGTCAGAATTACAGCTGTGGAAACCTAAACTAAGAACTCCAGCTTTGACTATCTGCCATAATGAATTTACTAACATTCTATCAACAGAGAAAGAAAACCAGTACCAGCAGAGTTGTGGAAAACCAAGAATCTCTGAAGATCTGTACACTGCTCAGCCAGTTTCCAAATCCTGGCTAGAACCAGATCATTGATCTCCTTGTCAATAATGTGATGCCCACCAGCATAGTTTTTGGCAACATCTTACAATTCCTTGCTCATGATTAGCTTCTCAAGATAAAAAAAAAAAGCTACCGAGAAGTTCCAGAAATGAAAGTTGGTTTTAGATCAACAAACATTTCTGTGGGGAAAAGACTCATCGAAACCTGCTTCAGTGAAGAAACTGAGTCATCTTTTTATCCAATGTTCCAGTAGAGTTTCCAATAATCGCTGTCCATTGTACTCATATATAGTGGCCAACGGGTTAAGCAGTGATGGCAGGAACAGGTACACCTTTGTTCTGGTCACAGACCCTAATGAGCTAAGAGTCAAGGTAAGTAACATACTGCTTGCTTCTACTTTTAACTTTCTCAGGATTTTCAAAAGTTGGGTCCAAAAATGCCTTTTTCTCAATGGCTACTTTCTGCCTTTAGAATACTAAAGATGATACTAAAAAATAAGGTAGGTAGATCTAATTTATTAACAGTGAATTAGAAGTCTTTGATTTGAACAATTCCCTTAAGAAGTCAGAAACTAAACTCAGAGAAAGTTAGAAACAAAGGTTAAAATCAGGGTTAACATTGTTGGATGAGCTAAGATACTATTCCCTATAACTACTACTGCTTAACATAGTGTATTGGAGGCCTTTCAAATTAAAATAGAGAATTCTCAGTCACCAGGTGACAAAAATGGAAGCTCAGAAGGGGGACTTCTTGGAGCTGATTGAAGACCAGGTGGGAGACAGGGCATTTGCCCCTTCCCCAACTTGATTCAAGATATAGCTGGGAACCATTCACATGTTTCATAACTGAGAAAAAATTTAAAAAGCAGAGAAGCCAATACCTCACTTTTGTGAATCAGATGAGATAACAGCTCTTCTAGTTCATCAATCAATTAGAGGACTCCTCATCTCCCATTGCAAAGCTTCTCATGAATGAATTGTGGAGGTCCCACCCTCAGATTCCCACAACCAGATTCTGCAACCAGAAATGGCAGCACAGCATGCTCCAGAGAGACAGGGCCCCCTCTACAATGGTAGCATCTTCCCTCCATCTGACTTGAAATTTCCAAATTTGGAATTATGAACGGGTTAGACAACAAAGGCAATAGTTAAAATGCACATTACCTAGAAGTGATTCTCTAGTCTAGTTTTTCCCAACCACAGATGGTAAGCAAATTTTTACTAGTCAAGGAAACTTTTAATAATAGAGGGTCTCACTTCTAAAAAAAAAAAAAAGCAAAACAATTCCTGTAGGATGATGCTCAGCTTTTCAGGGGATGTCATGCTTAGTTGCAAGCTTGTATCTTTTGCCCTTTGCAATCTTGTATTCCAAGATTTCTCACTTTTGGTAGAACCTGCCAGCTCCTGAGATCCTGATTGTACTTCCTTGGTAGTAAACTTCTTTCTGGATGCCTGTGGTATTTTTTCTTTGATCTAGGAGCTCTAGAGTTTGGCTATGACATTAGTAAGACTTTTCCTTCAGGGCTTTGTCTTTCAAATGGTGATTGGAAGATTCTTTTAATCTTTACTTTGCCTTTTGATTCTAAGAGATTTGAGCAATTTTAATTTGTTATTTCTTGAAATATAGTAGCCAGGAAAAAAAAATATCAGCAGCCAGGCTTTTTAGAAATTGTAGTTTTCAGACAGGCAATGTTACTTGACCTGTTTTCCAGGGCAATTGCTTAATCATATACCTTACATTTTGTTTGTTTCTTTCTTAGATATACATGCATACATACATATAATTATATATATATATATATATA